AGTTCGCGGACAGATTCCCGAGACGACGAATTGTGTGAACTCCTATGGCGTTCCCCCCGCATTGCGAATTTCCATCCTTTCCAGCTCCGGATGGCCCAAAAACAAGCTCCAGAGACTTCAAAGGTCCACGGAGCCCCCGCGAGTCCCCTATGGTGCCATGGAGGATCCCAAGACGAGCCCAGACGGAGCCGGAGACCCCCTCAGGACAGCTCCGTGACAGCACAAGACCACGCCGAAAAGGTCCCAAAACGCCCCCAGACGGCCCCTGAGCCCTCCAACCCAGTTGGCGGGTTCTGGAAACACCGACCACCAAAGTAATGCCATCTCCAACAGGCGCATCTTTTACTTCCGCCCCCTTCCGCCAACTTTCCACCCATCTTCCGCGTGCGAAACCAGCCGGCCCCGTTCTTCTTCTGCCGCCTTCTGCCGGCCTTCCGCCGCCTTCCGCCCGGGAAGAGATGCCAACTGCCCCGCGATGGCGAGGGTGGGGGGGGGGAGTGCGGGTGGGGGGAGGTCCTTCTCCTCCTCCTCCTCCTCCTCTCCTCTTCCTCCTCCTCATTCTCCTCCTCCTCCTCCTCCTCCTCCTCCTCCTCCTCCTCCTCCTCCTCCCCCTCCTCCTCCTCCTCCTCCTCCTCTTCCTCCTCCTCCTCCTCCTCCTTCTCCTTCGACCCATCGAATGCGAGGCCCTTACTGGAACGCCTCGCTTGTGTAGTTGTCTCCGCATGTGCTGGCGGGCAGGGGGTCCTGCCAAGGGCTGCCGCGAGGCCCCGCCCAATGCCTAGCTGTGGCTGCGGGAGGTCCCCCCCGTGGGGTCACGCCCGTCGGATCCCGCCCAGAGGCCGGGCCCCCCTCCCCAAGATCCACCTCAGAAGCGTTTTTGGCGAATCCTCGTCATCTCCTCGCCTTTTCGTGGGGGGGAGGGCGTGCCCCCACAAGAGGCCCCGGAGGAGGAGGAGGAGGAGGAGAAGGAGGAGGAGGAGGAGGAGGAGGAGGCCAAGGCGGCGGAGGAGGAGGCGGCGTTCTCTCTGTCTGTCTCGTCCTGCAGCCGGTTTTTCTAGCGCCCCATCGGCCCGCTCATGAAGCCCAGGCTGGGCCTCAGTTGCCCTTCTCTATCGGGGCCCGCGCGCTGACCCTTCCTTCAGTCGAGGCATCTGCTGCTGCTGCTGCTGCTGCTGCTGCTGCTGCTGCTGCTGCGTCGCCTGTGCCACACTCGGCCTCTGGTGCTCAGCCACCTAGCGCCCCTGCACCCGCTGTACCTCCCAATTGTGGCCGACGTGAGGAAAAAAATCGGCGGAGTCGACCGCAGGATCTCCTGGCGTGCCGTCCCGCCGCCGGGACGAGCAGAGCCCCCAGCGCCGTCTTCGAGAGCAGCTGGGCCCATCGAACTGGTCGTACTTCGGCTCTGGCTCCGCCACCGCCACGACGGGCGCCGGGGTCGTAGTGTTCGGCTCCATCAGATCCACCTGGTCCAGATCGGCTTCGGGGAGCTCGCACACGCCGCACGTCACCTTGCACTTCCTCGCGATGTGCCTGGAGTTTGGGTGACCGAAGCAGAACTCTTTGATATCAGTGCAGCCCATGACCTTGTGACCCATGAAGAGCACGGGCACGTGGTCGTCCGCATCATCATCGCAAGGTTCGTCTGATCTCCTTGGACTGCTTGCTGCTGCTGAGCTGGAGGAGGAATCACTCACCTGCTTCACGACTAAGGGAACGCACATCCCGCAGGTCATGGGGCACACTCTCTTGATGTGTTCGGCTAGGGTCAAGTGGTCGCAGTAGTTGTACAACTCCGAACAATTGGCAGTTCCGCTGTTCTTGAGCTTGACGCCTGTGGCCAACGAGTCCTTGCATCTCCACGAGGGCACCCGGAATGCCTCGGCCGCGCTGTCATCATCGCTGTCTAATTGCTCAAACACAGCCTGAACAGGCTCGCCCGCCTCCAACTCCACTTCTGGCACCGGCACGCAAGCCATGCACGTGACGGGGCACCTCTGGGCCAGCCTGGCGCTGAACTCCGGGTCCTGGCACCTGGGTGACGAAAAGAAACGGGTCTCAAGCGAGATGCCAGAGCGACATCATGCCGTGGTTTACGCGGGCCGCCAGCGCGGCACGCCACATTGGAAACGAGGGCGTTTACTTACGCGCGACCTTACGCGGGCACCCTGCACGCCAATGTCGATGAAGACGACCCCGCTTTTCTGCCTCGCTCACCTGTCCCTCAGCGCCCGGCACTGAAGGTCCACCGAACCGACGGCCCCCTCGGCGAGCAGGCCAGTATAGTTGGCGTCGGCGCACCCGCCCTCCACCTTCAGCCCCCCGCCCGCAAGCAGGACCTGTGGGCACGATGCATTTCCACATCCACTGCGTCTTGGAAACCCAAGAAAGGGGGGCGCCGACCGGCCGAGGCGCAGTTGTTGTGGATGGGCGGCAGCTCTGTCCACATCCACTGTGCCTCGGGCCTCTGGGGAAGGGCGCCTGAAGCTCCAAGATGCAACGGATGTGGATAGACGTCTTCCCCGCAAAACCTTGGAGAGTCTCCTGGTGGGGGTTGCCGGCACCACCCGCTCGGCGCAGCCGTACCGCTCGCCCAGCCGGCGAGCGTCGATCTCCGAGAGGCCGTGGCGTTGCCCCAGCAGTCGCGACAGCAGGGGCAGCCTCGTGGACACGGCCCCGTTCGAGGGGACCTTCAGCTCTACGGTGTCCCTGCCATTCACCGAGAAAGCCTTTGGTTGCGTGGTACTCAACCCGTTAATTGCCAAAACACATGACTGCCCATCTTGCACATCTATTGACTCTCTGTCGTAATAGTATGGTTCATGAATATCCGAGTCAACATCGCAGAAGGGTGTGCTGGGGAGGAGCAGGAGCATTCCACTCCTTGACAAAAGCCTTGCCCCGACTTGTGGCCGCCGCGCTCGTCGCGGCGACCTCCCAAACCGACCCGGGAGTTTGGTTCCGCCTCGGAAATTACGCAACGAGCCTTGGCACTACCCGCCATCAAGCTCAGGGGGTCGAAGTCGGCAAAGGAGGGCACGTCGACGCTCCTGTCGATCTGGAAGTTCGTGCCGAGGGCGGACGCATCGGTGTTGCCCACAAGGATGTCCACGAACTCGTCCCGCCTGTGGTGCGACAGCTCGTGAGTCGCCCCGAGAGCCTGCAGCAGCTGGTGTGCCGCCACGCCCATGAGCCCGCACCCGCGGCCGAGGTTCAAGCGCTGGCTCTGCCTGTCGGCGCGCATGCCGACGTCCGACCAGCAGCCGGAGACTCCCGCGTTGCCGCTGACGGCGATCGCGGGCCTGGAGCGACAGAAGCCGCTCCCCGACTCGCTCGGGATCTCCTCGAAGGACAGGCAGGGCACCTGGCTCCGGACGTGGTCGACCGCGGCCACGAAGGCCCTCCTCGACGCGCCGTCGAGGCCGTCGAGGAAGCAGTACGAGACCTGCAGCGGAAGAGCAACGGCATGAGCAGACCCGTTTGGAGGTCCGCGCGGATCTCCCAGATCTGCGCTGCGGCCCCCTTCCCGAACACGCCCAGAAGGGCGGCAGAGGCGCCGCCAGGGGGGCCCAAGCGCCGATCCAAGGAATCGATGCGGAGCTCCGAGCTGCCTACCTAGCAGACCACCCCAACCCAACCCGAAGGCCCGAATTTGACCCGTATTTCGGATTGGGGGGGGGGTACGGGTTCCATGTTTTTTTTTTGCAATGCTCCCCGACCCCCCCCTACGAGAACTGGAGGGCGAAGCGGGGCCCTCGGGTTGGGTTGGGGTGGCTTGGTGGGTGGTGACGAGCGTTGCTTCTCGTGCAGCTGTTTCTCACTCGAGCCTTGCCGTCGGGCCAGTCTGTCACGCCGAGCGCCACGGTCTGGTTCGCCGCCCCGCCCGACGCCGCGGCGGCGGGCAGCACGTCGCCCTGCAGCAGGAGCTCGCCGGAGGGCGTGCGCGCGCGCTCCTCGAGGGCCAGCAGGGCCGTGCCTCCGACGCAGCCGTCGAGCAGGTCCCACCTCGGCTGCCCCGGTGCGCAGCACGCAGCCCGTAGCGTGTTGGCAAGGTGTGTGCTGCGCTTCGATGCGTGCTGCGTTGCGGCAAGTGGGCAACGATGAAAAAAACATGGTCTTACGCGAGACGACATGGCGCCCTTACTCGGTGGCTTGCGCGGGAGACCCGCGCGGCACGCTACGCTTGGAAGCGAGGGCGCTTACGCGCAACCTCACGCGAGAAGCTTACGCGTCAATGTCGGCACAGACTACCCCGTTTTTTTTTCGCTGGTCAAGTGCGTGTTGAACAGGGTGCAGTCGGACCCAGGCCAGCAGAACATCCTTCGAGAACATGAGCCCCTCCTTCGCCCCAAACAAGCAGAACACCCAACTGGGGTACCCTCCCCAGGATGCTCAGGAACATCCAACTGGGGTGCCCTCCCCGAACCGACCTCGATCTGATGCCTCGGTCCAGCGGCACGTGCTGCTTTTGAGCAGGTGCGTACCAGGGCAGCTAAGGATCCCACTGGTCCTGCACGGTCCATACGTGGCCACTGCGGAGGGCCGTGCCCAGGTCGACCTCGCTGAGGGCCTCGAGGACGGCGTCGGCGCTGAGCCTCTCCTTGTCGCGGGCCTTCAAGGCTTGGAGGACCCGCTCCAGCGCAGGGCCGGTTGCCCGGCCGTCGGCGGCCTGGTCGGCGACGTAGAACGAGAGCAGAACCTCCGCTTTCGCGACGGCCTCTGGGGGGGAGCGAGACGACACTGATGCCACTGCTCCCCAGGCCGCCGAGGGGCACGTTCTGCCGGCGAGTCCGGCGGGGGCGACGGGAGCCTCCCCCAGAGGCCTGGGGCGGCGAAGCTCATGGCCAGCCTGTGCTGTTTTGCAGCACGCGGCCGCCAGAAGCCTAGACGTCGACCCCCCCTCCCATTCGGGCAATCTCGCTGCCTGGACTGTCTCTTCCTGGTGGCGCTCTGGTCAAGGGTTCTGGCGTGAGGCAAAAGCTGATCCAGAATCTCTTCCACGG